AGACTCTATTTTCAATTATTTTGGATATATACCCAGAAGTGAGATTGCTAGATCATATGGTAATTCTATTTTCAATTTTTTGAAGCACTTCATACTATTTTACACATTCCACCTGCAGTGCACAATTACTCCACATCTTTGCTAACACTCATTATTTTCTGTCTTTTTGATAGTAGCCATGGGTATGAGGTGATGACTCATTGTGGTTTTGATTTGCATTTCTCTGCTGATCAGTGATCTTGAGCATGTTTTTATATATTTGTTGGCTATTGCTGTATCACCATTGGAGAAGTTTCTATTCAAGTCCATTGCCCAGAATGGGTAATTTTTTAAAACTTAAAATAAATAAATAAATAAAATTTATAGAAAAGTTGTAGGAATAGACAAAGAACACCCATGTATCTTTTACCCAGATTAACCTGTCAACATTATGCTTGATTTGTTTTATAATTTGTTCTCTCTCTCTCTCTTTCTCTCCATATATATTTTTTTTCTCCATTATTCGAGAGTAAGTTTCAAAACTATGATATCTTCTCAAATACTTCATTGATATTTTCTGAGGATAAGGTCATTTTTCTATGCAACTATAGTACAGCCATCATCTTCAGTGAATTTAACAGTAATACATTATTTTTTCTAATTTACCTTCTGTATTCCAGTTTTGTTAATTGGCCCCAAATTGTTCCTCTAGACATTTTTAAACATCTTTATTGAGATATGATTCACATGCCATATAATTAATAAATTTAAAATATACAATTCAGTGGCTTTTAGTATATTTACAGAGTTGTGCATTCATCACCTTAATCAATTTTTGAACACTTTCCTCACACCAAAAAGAAACCTTATATCAATTAGCAATCGCTCCCCAACTTCCCCCTCCACAGTCCCTGCAACCACTTATCTACTTTATGTCTTTATAGGTTTGCCTATTTTGGATATTTCATATAAATAGATCATATACTATGAGAGCTTTTATGTCTGGTTTCTTAGCACGTTTTCAAGGTTCATCCATGTCATAGCATATATCAGTACTTCATCCCATGTAATGGCTGAATAATGGTTCATTGTTTGTATATACCACAATTTGTTATCCATTCGTCAATTGATGGACATGTGGATTATTTCTCCCTTTTGGCTATTATGAGCAATGCTGCCATGAATGTTCATGTACAAGTTTTTGTGTGGACATATATTTTTATTTCTCTTGGGTATATTCCTAGGAGTGGAATTGTTGGATCATATGGTAACTCTATGTTTAACCATTTGAGGAGCTGCCAGACTGTTTTCCAAAGCAGCCGTACCATTTTACATCCTCACCAGTTGAGTATGAAGGTTCCATTTTCTCCATATCCTTACTAACATACTTGTTATTGTCTTTTTGATTGTAGTCATCCTAGTGGGTACGAAGTGGTATTTCATTGTGGTTTTGATTTGCATTTCCCTAATGATTAACGATGTTGAGCATATTTTCCTGTGTTTATTGGCCATTTTTATATCATCTAGGAGAAATGTCTATTCAAATCCTATTCTCATTTTTCAGTTGGATTATTTGTCTTTTTTATTCTAAGAGTTTTAAGAACTCTATATATTGTAGATACTAGACCTTTATCAGATATATGATTTGAAAATATTTTCTCCCATTCTGTGGGATGTCTGTTCACTTTATTGATAGTATCCTTTGATGCAGAAAGTTTTAAATTTTGATGAAGTCCACTTTATCTATTTGTCTCTTTTCTTGTTTGTGCTTTTGACATTATCTCTAAGAAATGATTACCCGATCTAAGTTCACAAAGATTTATACCTCTGTTTTGTTTTATGAGTTTTATAGTTTTGCTCTTCTTACATTTAGGTCTTTGATACATTTTGAGTATATTTTCGTATATGATGTGAGGTAGAGATAAAAAAAATGTTTTTTATATGTGGATATCCAATTGTCTCAGCACCATATGTTATAAAAGACTATTCTTTCCCCAGTAAATTGGTACCTTTGTCAAAACTCAATTGATCATGGATGTTTTGGTTTGTATTTGGATTCTCAGTTTTATTCCATTGGTCTATGTGTCGTCTTTATGCCAGTACCACACAGTCTTGATTATTGTAGCTTGGTAGTAGGTTTTGAGATTAGGAAGTGCGAATCCTTCAGCTTTGTTCTTTCAACAGTATTTTATAATTTTCATTTTACAAGTCTTTCACCTCCTTGGTTTCTGATCTCTATCGTTTCTCATGCGAAATAAGTTGTTACTCTTATTGAAGATCTCTTGCACAAGGTAAGTCATTACTTTCTTGCTGCTTTCAAGATTCTCTCTTTTTCTTTGACTTTCAGCAGTTTGATTAGGATGTGTCCAGGTGCAGGTCTCTTGATATTTTCTGCTTGAAGTTTGTTGAACTTCTTAGATGTTTAGATTAATGTTGTTCATCAGATTTGGGAAATTTTTTGCCATTATTTCTCCAAACGTTCTTCCTATTCCTTTGGGGCTCTCATTATTCATTTTGTCAGTGACTTTTTTTTTTTTTAGGAGAGAATTTCCTTTAAGCAAACTAGAGGCTAAATGAATATCTGGATATGCCAGAGGTGGAGATAGAAAGATAGCATGGAGAGACACTGGTGATAAACTTATGATCAGCACAGACAGAAAGCAAGCCAAGTGGAATGGAGGAGGTAAAGGAACATAACTCATGACAGATAAGGAAGAATAAGCCCATATGTGATAAGGCACTTTATAGTTAAATGCTGTTCAGAACATTGGCTAGCCATATGAAGAAAAAGTGACTTATAAAAGGTCTTATTTTAAAGATAAATTAAAAGGCTAAATTAGTTTTAAAAAGAAGAGAAAACCAATTAAAATTACATTCTTAACTCTGTAATGGAGATATATTTAAAAACTAGAAGGCATTGTTTGTGGCAAACTTGGGGTGGCCTCTTCTATAAAAAATAAAATGTTATGTATGATAAAAATTGAGGAAGTGATATCGATGTAGGAAAAATGTGGTAATAGAGACAGAAAAACTCAATATCCAATTTGACAAAGAATAGGGTTTTTTCTCCCTGCACTTGTATAGATGTAAAAAGTAGTTTGCTATGAAGATGATAAACTCTACCACATGGAAAAACAATGTTTATTTTCACTAATTAAGGAGATACAGGGGGAAAAAAACCCCTGAGGTTTTACTCTATGCACGTAGAACAAAGGAAAATGAATAAAATTGATAAATATATTTTATATTTAATAGTGTTGAGGGTGTGTGGGTGAGCAGTCACACTTGTGGTTTTACTGGTGACAGTTTAAATTAATGTCTCCACTTAACAAACAGTAGAACATCTGCTGTGTGTGAGATATTGAAGCAAGCTTCAGGAGATGTTTAGGGAGCATTTGCAACGTGATAGATGCTGGTGATTCAAAGATGAATTAGACAGTGACCAGGCCCCAAAGGCTCTTTCGTGTAGTGGAGAGACAGAGAAAAAAATAAGATATTTCAATGGCCATTTTGACTCAGCTCCTTCTCTGGGGGCTCAGGGTACCTGGCCAGGGTCCTCAAAGTCCACCTTTGTGTAGACACAGGACCCTTCTCGGGGTTCATAGCGATGGTAAGGGTATGACAGGTGCCTCTGTAATGAGCATACAGAGAAGTGGTAAGGACTGTAAAGATGGCCACGGCAAGGGTTTTGGGAATCTCAAGAAGAAGAGATCACTGTTGGCAAGGCTGGGGGTCCAGCAAGGGCTTGCCTTGTTTTACCCTGCTGGTTCCTGGCCAAGCACAGCCTGGCAGCAGAGCTGCATTTTTAGCATAGGCTACTCAATACTGCCTCCTTGTACACGCGCCTTCTTGCCTGCCCCTGCAACTAGGATCTCTGGCGACAGGGGCTCTGTGTCAGGCTCTGGCCATTTTTTGGGACACCACATTGATTCCTGGGGCTTGGATGCCAACCATGTATTCATACTGCTTGGTGATAGTGATTTGTTTGGTCGGGCCTGGTGGGCATCAGATATTGAAGACTTGAATGCAACATAGAGAGAGTAGCCACAGAAACACCTGGAGCATGTGGTAACCTGGTTAATGGGAATGTTGCGGGGAGCCCCATGTGTGCCATAGGGGCCCTTTGGCCGCTTGAGCTCTACATACTCCCATGTGGAAGCAAAGGCCATTGTGCCCATCTGGCTGGGATTATGACTTACTGAGGTTCATAAGGAGTCAGTATGGGGATGAGTACCAGGGGTGAGAGTTTCTTCTTGTCTTCTTCTAGACCCCCAGAGCCCCTGGGCATGAGCTTCTGGGCAGTGTGACACGTGCCTAGCTCTTCTAATTTGTTTTTCATGTGTGTTGAAATGATCACTGAACAAAGCAGAACAGTCTTGTCTCCCTCCAAGAGGTAGACTGTCTCCATCCTTCAGGAGACATGAGCTTTCCTTCCCTTTTTTATGATCCTTACTTTAAAGGAACCCTTTTTCTTTTCTTATGTGAGTTTGAATATTTCCAGAGCTGAGGATCTCTCCCCTTTGATTTCCACCCAGCATGACCCATATTGGATAGGGGTTTTAGACTTTTCTCTACTGTATTGATCTCAAATCTTCCTCCCTGTGCTTCTATTCATGGGTCCCACTTTAGTCCTTGGCTATTTCCTGGGATGAGGTAGGAGGTTCTTTGAAGGAATGGACTGGAGCTGAGACTAGTAGGTGAGGACAATGCCCACGTGTGTACCTCTTGGGCTGTATCTGTGGCTCCCTGAGCTGCTCACCCTTTCTGGGCCCCAAACATTTCCAAAGTTCTTGGGAAGAGCAGCTAATTAAAAGTAGCTCACTCAGGTCCCTATTTGCCATGTTTGGGCAGGAAGGACAGTATTAAATGTCTCAAAAGCCATGATTCGTTGTTGTTAGTAGAATGACAGGTCAAGTGGCTCCTATTGGATGTGCAGTGAAGTGAAGGTCCCCCTATCCCCCAGTCCCGTGCCTAGGGCCTACATGTCCCACACTGATAAGTGCCCTCTGATTCCTCTGCAGGAGCTGATTGACCTCAAGATGCTTCAGTGCAAGAGAGTTGTCAATGGTGAGTGCAGCTCTGGCCTCAGGATTGTGTGTGTGCCCAGTCAGAGTCAAGCAGCCCTACCATTGCCATTGCCTGGGCTGACAGTGTCCTTCCAGGGTTCTCTTTGCCTGGCTGTGTTAATTTTGTGGATCATATGTTCCCTTGAGAACAGTCACTGCTGTTCAGAGACCCTGAAAAGAGCCAAATGTGAAACAGGCTAAGAATTCCTTCTATTCACAGGCTTGCTGGCATAGAAATTGCCAGGTTTCCATAATACGGGAAGGACTGTAGAAGCCTTGGGGTCAGGATGGCTTTGGCACTGGTCCTGGCTCTGCTACTCACTAGCTGTGTGACCTTGGGCAAGTCACATGACCTCTCTGCCTCAGTTTCTTTAGCTGTAAAATGAAAATCATAATCCCTTCTTTACTTAAATCATAGGATTGGAATGAGGATCACATAATATAAGGTACATGTAATTACTTTGCAAATGGAAGTGGTTGTGCTGAATTGTGGTTTTGCTTATATTTTATAAGCAAAAGGCTGATTCTGCTTTGATCAGAATTGTGGTATTGTTTGAGATTTTGAAATATATATATGTTTGTGAAATCTTTATAAATTCACTAGAAGTCATGACTCAATTTTGTCTTTAATTGTTTTAGATTTATATTTCCCTCGTTATGAAAAAATTCAATATTACAGACTTATATAACCTAGAAAATGAAAATCCCCCATAATCCTATACTTGAAGGGATAATCACAAAAAGGAATAATATATATATTTTACACATTTAGTAAAGTACGTGTATAAAAATATAACGTGTTTAAATATCTTCCTTCCTGTTGATGGCTATGCCACCCTGAACACTCCTGATCCCCTCTGATCTCAGAAGCTAAGCAGGGTCGGGCCTGGTTAGTAGTTGGATAGGAGACCACCTAGGAAGACCAGGTGCTGTAGGCGTAAAAATAACTAACTAACTAACTAAATATCTTTCTTCCTGCCCCCTTGGGATCACGATTCACATGTTTTGCCACTTTTCTACAAAGACATTTTCCCATGTCATTACTTATAGATGACTATGTCAGAATTGATTTCACCAGTGTTTTAGTGGATGATGCAGTATTTTGCTGTTATAAACAGAGCTGTAATATAAATACATTGTTTTTGTGGTTCTTCTCTCAGACTTTTTACTGCCAGTTATGAACTGTCTCTGCTGTTGGAGATTGCTTCGATAACCAATCCTAACATGTCACTGCCTTTACCCTACCTTTTTAATCCTCTGATCTGTTCAGTGTTAGGATGATAGTAACAGCTTCTATTTATGGAAGTGCTTTACTTGCATTAAAGATCTCATTTATTTCTCAAAATAAATACATGAGGTAGGCATATTCTCCCATCTGGCACATTGGATCTCTTTCATGTGTCAGTCATCTTTGAAAACTAGTAATGGTAGTACTTGTAGAGTTTTGTTATGAAGAGCATTTGAGATTCTTGTTATTTGCAATTGTTACATTCTGTAAAGTTTCTGCAAACACCAAATTAGTGAATACTGAACCATTGCTCCCCAGGGGAAATACAGGCATACCTTGTTTCATTGCACTTTGCAGATACTGCATTTTTTACAGATTGAAGGTTTGTGGCAACCCTGCTATCAGCACCATTTTTCTAACAGGCTCATATGATGGTTAGTATTGTTTTAGCAGTAAAGTATTTTTAAATTCAGGTATCTGCATTGTTTAAGACATAATGCTATTGCACACTTTAAATAGACTGTGGTGTAAACATAACTTATATGTGCTGGGAAACCAAAAAATTTGTGTGTCTTGCTTTATTGCGATAATTAGCATTTTGTGGTGGTCTGGAACTGAGTCCACAATGTCTTTGAGGTATGCCTATAAGGTTTAGGTTTTTGCAAACTTTTTCCAAACCTGGGCACACATTTTCGTTAACAGATCAATAACAATCTTGTCTTATGTGTGTATCTGTTTAAAGACTCATAATTTAACATATTCTGTTGATTCATTAACATTGAACTCAGCTAACAGCACTATAATTTCATGTCTAAACAAAGCTTTTCTAACACATGTATTTTCTCCTTAAGGCACATCACCACTTTCTTGTGCTTAGGAACACTAGATAGCACTTCTCTATGCTTGGAGCCATTTAAAAAAATGAGATTACCAACAAAAAGCACAAAAATGCAAAAATGTGGCATTAACTATACCACCAAATGGGCGCTTGCTTATGGTCCAAGAGCTGAAACAAGAAGGCAGAGTTTTGCCTTGTTTGACCTCAGCTGGGACTGTTTACATCAGGTAACTGAAATTTTCTGTAGTTCTAGGCGTGTCTCAGAATTATGCCGAAAATGCCACGAGTATCGATTTTGATGTTACAGATAAAATTTAGGGAGCAGGAAAATTTGCAAATACAGAACTGCAAATAATGAAGATCGACTTTAATATAGTAAATCTCCACTCACAGTACCTGGCACATGATAAATCATTAAGAAATGGCAGCTTCGTCTATGTCCATGCCACCCTGAACACACTCCATCCCATCTAATCTCGTAAACTAAGCAGGGTCGAGTCTGGTTAGTACTTGGATGGGAGACCACCTAGGAAGACCAGGTGCTGTAGGCTTAAAAAAAAAAAAAAAAAAGAAAAAAAGAAATGGCAACTTTGCTGAACTTCAGAGTGACATCTTCTGGGAAAATTTGGTCAAAATCAGAAGCACAGATAAGATTCTGTATATATGAACTTTTTTTTCAGTGTTTGAAGAATTGTGAAATGTAACAAACATACAGAGAAAGAACATAAAATGCAAGCATGCAGTTTAACACATAACTGTAAAACAAACAACTGTAAGTAACCATTGCCCAGATCAGGAAACAGATCATCATCAGCCGCCGTTTAATGTGATACTTCTGCTGTGTTTTCTTGCAGAGATTAGGTTAAGTTGAACTTGCTTTTTCAGTGGGTGGGCCCGTGTGTTTGTGTTTTCTTGCAGAGGTGCTCAGTACAGTGGACTTTGTCGCCCCTGATGACCGGGTAGTCTTCCGCACATGCAAAAGAGAACAGAGCAGGGTCATCTTCCAGATGGTACGAGATCCCAGGGCTCACTTATCACCTGGATTTGCCATCCCATGCCCTGTTCAGGGCCAGTGTTAAATGCCTGGGCTTCAGTGCACACGGGTAGCTTCCTGAAGACTCTGCTTTAATATTTTTGAAAGATCTGCTCCTGAGTGATTACAGTGTTGGTGATAGTTTATAGAAATCAAGTTCTAGCTGTCTGTTATATATCTCTAGTCTCAAATTTAATTTCTTTAATTATAAGAATTATCTGTTTGGCATGACATATACTTTTCATCCCTAGCATCAGATTATGGTCTTTGTTTTTGTATAGTTTGTATATATTTTCCATGGAAAGAAATTAGCTTTCCTCAAGAGTAAGATTTATGTTAGAGTTGTAATGACTCTGTAGCTCTCTTCTCGCACTTTGGCTATTTCTTGGTGCTTTTTCAGAAATAGCTCCTGAATGTTTAAGTTTTTAAAAAATTGATAACAATGGGTAGACATATGATAAAGCAAATATAGCAAAATGTTAATTCTAGAATCTAAGTCGTGGGTTTATAAATGTTCACTATAAAATTTAAAAGATTTTTTTGAATGTTTGAAAGTGATCATTTACGACATTTTCTAGGCCATCTGGGTCCACTTTTGGTCTCTTGCAGTGAGCTTGTATAGCTGGCTGTTTAAGAGACACCAGCTAGACTCTACTTGTGGATGTGTGTGTGCCTGGCATGCATGGTGTGTTTGTATGTGTGTACCTGTGTCAGGGCGGTGGTTGATGCAGCCTCTTGTGTTCCCAGGGGACTTCAGATGCAGAGCGAGCGCTTGCTGTGGCCAGACTTGTGTAAGTTCTTCCCTCTTTGGAACTGTTTTTGCCTCTCCTGTGGGCTATGAGGCCTTACTGTTCCTGGTGACCTTGGATGTGACTACCCTCTGCCTCCTAGTCCACTACATTCTGTTTTCAGGTCAAGAGTATCTGGTTTCTTTCTCTGTGGTGTCCGAGGACTGCCCTGGGACTCGTGTGTACCCACGGTGCCCAGATCCCAGATAACCTCTTTGTGGGTGCCTGTTTTTTAGTGTTTATTCATGAGACTTCCTTTTCAGGGCCTCTTATGAATGTAAACCCTGAGGATTTAAATCTCATGAAGTTTAGGTTGGACTTATTGCTTTCTAAATTAACGAAAGCAGGGGAGTACTGTGGTTAAGGAGATGCGCTTTGGAGTTAGATGGACCTGGGTTGGAATTCTTGCTTTGTTACTTGCTAACTGTATGACCTTAGGTGAGTTACTTATCCTCTCCGAGAACTTAGTTTCCTCATCTACAAAATGAGACCAATAATACTACCTACCTCTGGCATTATAGGGAAAGGTAAATGAAATAATGCATGTAAATGTTTTTGCAATGTATGGTACATAGTGAGTGCTTAGTAAGATTCAGCTATTGTTATAAGTTACAGTAAGGGTGAGAAGGAACTCATACAATAATTGGTCCTGATTGCAGCCTGTTAACTGTACATACCAGAAGATGAGGTAAGGGTTGTTTCTACATCTGAGAACTGTTTGGAGTAAGCCAACTCTGTGGCCCAGCCAACAAAGGCAAGTCCTGTAACTTCCACTAGATCCAGTGCTCTGGGCAAGGGCTCTTATGCTCATTTCACTCTTGTGCATTGATAAATGGCTTTCACTTCCCCAGTTAGAACTGGAACTCTGGAATAAAGTTTAGTGTGGCTGTCACTCAGTATTTGAGTTATCTGATACAACTCCGAAGTCGCAAAGTCCTCTATAACTAACCCTTTCTACAAAGTGTGAGCATATTATGCTCTTCTTTTTGAACTCCGCTGGGGAGGCAGCCGCACATTTTAGAGACAGGGTTTTTTCAGCTCTGACACTGAGGGTTGGTATCTTTTGGGGCCAGGGACATCGTAAGGGGTTCATGAGCACAGACCCATGCCTTTGACTCTACCTTTTGAATATTGACTACCTTTTCTACTTTGTTTTTCCAGAGAAAATGACGTGGCTGGTATTGATGTTAACATGGGCTGTCCAAAAGAGTATTCCACCAAGGTAAACTGAATTCTTTGTATTCTTCACAAATATAGAGTGCAGATTAAAGAGGACCAACAAGGCATGACAGCTAAGTATAGTACCCGACTCTGTACTGGATTCCATAATAGGTGAGGAAAATGTCCAAGAGGATATTATTAGATCAATTGGCAAAACTGGAATATGGACCATTGTAGATTAACTAAAAATACTGTATCAATGTAAATTTATAAAGTCGACAACTCTTCTGTCAGCTTAGAAAATACACACTGAATTATTTAGGGGTCAAAGGCTATGATATATATAACTTTACCCTCAAATGGTTCAGGAAAAATTGTATATATACAAACACACACACACACACACACACACACACACACACACACACACAGCACTTATGCCCAAGTAATGAAACAAATGATGTAAATGTTAAAAGAGAAAATGTGAATAGGACTTTCTTTTCATGAATAAAACCAAGACACACATTTTTTTTTAAAAAAAGTGAATGCAATACATTTGTCCCCATCGTCATATCAGAAGATCAGGCCAGAGTGCTAAGATAGCTCAGAAAGGAGCAGAAAGACAGCCCTTAAATTCGGGATCTTATAGGGGAATGCAGCCCTTGAGGAGGGGGTTTGGGACACTGCAGGCCGGAGGAGTGGTTCCAGCAGGGGCCTGGAGGCCAACATGAAGTAGAGACAGAGAACCTTGATTTAACCAGAGAGTTGGAGAGAAGAGGAAGCAGGGGAACACAGGATTGAAAATCTTGGTTTGAACCAGAGTAGCTGGACTTGGACTTTAGATATCTCTGGCCTTTTTTGAACAGAAAAGGCATGTGATCAGAAACTTAAGTTTCCTTCTCCAGCGGAAACCAATGTTGTTAGTTTCTTTTGTGACTTTCCAAATCTATTCCATGAGTAGAAATACTTAGAAATACTAATCTGGGAGCCATATGTCTTGGGGATTCAACTGGAAAGAGGCTAGAGGTGAGGACATAGATATAGGAGATGAGGATCCTGGGTCCACAGGAGAGAGACCAGGGATGGAGAGAGAAGCCCAAACAGAGCAGAATTTGACAAGACTTGGCTGACAAATGATTGTTGGACTTGGTGTGGGGAAGTAGGGTGAGTGGTGGGGGTAGAAGGGGAAAGACTGGCAGCCAGGAGGACACTTGGTCTTCAGTGTCATCGGGACTGCTAGAGGAAAAACATGCTAGGAGCAAATAACAAGGACGGCTTGGGGTTGGATATACGAGGCCCTGGAGGTGCTCTTGTAGGGCTGCCACTGGGAGCCTTATTGTAGGGCGTGTGGTCAGGGTCTGCTGTATAGACATAGCAGATGTCCTCTGAGCCCATTCTCAGAGTCAACTTCTGTGCTCTCAGGAGTCACATGGCCTGGGGACCTTTAGGCCAGGAGGCTGAAGACTGCCTCAGGGAAAGGCCCTTGGGATGCTCGAAGTCCAGAGGGCCGTGTAGGCAGCTTCTTCAAGGAATTATGGAGGTTTGACATTGTCTATGAAGAATCAAAAACTTTGGACTCTGTTTTGCTGTCTTCAAATTACTTCTTTGTGTTCCTGAATTATGTAAAGAGCAGAGTTGAAATTATTGGAATAATCTCCTCAAGACTGTGGAGTGAAAAGAGCAGGGAGCAAAATTGTATATGGTGTACTACCATTTATATACGGAGGTTGGAGAATGAGTATTTGTATATATTTATTTTTCTCTTCACAGAATATATTCAGAAAGACACACAAGAAACTAGCAATACTGGTTTCCCCTGGGGAAGGAAACTAAGTTTTTATTTGGTTTTGCATAGGGACTCAATTCCCATTGCAGGGGTGCTACTTAAAATAATTAACAACTGGCATAGCAGTGGCACCAACCAGTCAGAGCAGATAGTAGCAGTATGCCATACCAATACATACCACCTGAATATCCCCTGTCTTCTCATGGTTCAAAAATTGAAACCATATAAAAAGTCTTAATTGAAAAGTTTTCCATTTCTCAGAGAGCGAGAGTTCTTACTTTTTACCCTATTGAACCTTTAAAATTGTTCATGTGTTACCTATTCAAAAAAGCAAATAAGTTGAATAGAAAGGAAGGAAGGAAATACCAATTGAGAAAGCCATTGTTGTGGAAGGGGCAGTGAGATTGCTTTTTAGAGTTTGTGATTCCACAAGGGAGGGCCAGATTGTGTGTGAGCTGAAGAACAGATGGAGTCAGCATGTGTGGCCAGGACGTCCCTAAAGGCTCTGAGGTTTATATCTGTGGCCAAGTGTAGGCCAGGGCTAGTACTCTTCTGCCTTTCCCATTTTCCTCTGACATGCAGGCTCAGGCTGGCTGAGTCTGTGGTGGGTCAGTGTTCTCTGATTCTGATCTGTCATCCTTTTAAACATGAAATTAAATTGCGATCACTGAATTTAAACCTGAGCACAGACTGTGAGCATTCATTAACATGCAGTTTCTATACTGATAGCATATATTTATTGATTTGTTTTTCTCCCCTTCATCTTACTCATAATGGATTCAGATTTTTGACACTGCCCCATCATTAAAGTAATTTATACCATTGTCCAGAACTTGGATAATAATAGAAGAAAAGTACAAAAAAGCGCAGAAAAATCACCAGTAATCCCACCATCAAGAGACAACCGTTGTTAATGTCAAGATTCATGTGGCTTCACAGACTGTTGATTTCCATTGACTGGAGCTTTTGTTAGAGTTTGACATTGGTCGGGGTGCTCAGGACTGGGCCCATGTTACTGGCAGGAGAGAAAGGCCTGGACAAGGTTTGTAGGTTGCATATCTCTGAGTGGCTTTGCTGGTAGTGGCGGTACCAAAGCAAGTGATAGTAGGACAGGAAGAAGGTGCATTTGCTCTCATTTTAAAGGAAGAATGATGCATTATTTTTTTTAAGGACTTGGCAGATGGAGGAGTTTAATTTATTAAGACATTGAGACCCTGGGTGGGGAATGGGCGGTCCTGAAAAATGATTTTTGTAGAACCCACTTCTGGATAGATCCATAGCTTTTGTTATGGGGATCAGAGTGATGACTGTTATAATTCATGAAACTCTGATCCCTGGTGTCAGAGTGAGCACAGATACTGCAAGTGCTGGGGGGCTGCCGGATTGCCACACCATATTGCTATACTTTAGGAGAGGCCACCCTCCTCCAACTGTAAGAAGTCCCTTTGTATGCTTTTCCTTAGGGAGGAATGGGAGCTGCTCTGCTATCAGATCCTGACAAGATTGAGAAGGTAAGTCCTGCATGAGGGAAAGCAGAGGTCCTTAAACAGGAACTGGAGTACCTGGACCATCTACTCCCCTCCTCCGGATTTAGTGCATCGGTCACTCCACCTGGGGCCTGGAGAATTTTATAAAGGCTTCCCAGATTTTGATGTCCATTCAGGTTTGGGAACCCCCGAACAGCAGCCCTGGAGTTCCTTAAAAGCCCAGGGCTAGGGACATGTCAACTGAGAGCTGGGGGTGGGGTGGGGGGTGTTGAGGAGTCATTTAGAGGCTCTTCTGTATTGCCTCTCTCCCTTCTGAGATGACCATGAGCGCATAGGACAGGCTGCCTGTGGGTTGTGGATAGGCTCAGTGGCTGTAAGGGTGGCTGGGGGAAGATTGGCCTCTCCCAGGGGCCTTAACGAGCATGGCAGTGGTCCCCTGCATATTGATAGAATTCACCACCAGCCTTTAAGAGCAGGCTAGACCTGGGTCATATGAAACAAGCTGAAATTAGTCTCCTCTTCCTCAGTAATTCTGGTGGCTAGGTATATGAGGCTCTGAGGACAGGTTAGTGTTTGCCACCCAGTATTGTGAAGTACCAGGGCATATCACTCCCCTTGGGGTGACATTTTCTGCCATACCATATACACCTTTTACTTTCCTTTCTCAGTCAGTCAGCTCTCTCTTTGTTGCTCCTCTTAGCTCCTTTGACTTCCTTTCAATTCTCCATCTCCACTTCCCTCCTAGTGCCTCCCATAGGCTAGAGCAACTTGGGATAAGGCACTATCAATAAGAGCTGCCACTATTTGTGCTGGCTGCTGTGTCAGCAGCTCAACCGTATTTATTCCTCCAGCCTCCCTGTCTCTGGGATATAGGAAGGCCAGCATGTTTATGGGATAGGCACCTTCTTGTTTTTCTCATGTGTAGATAGGTACATATAATGTATCTGTACTGTATTCTTACTATTTGTAGAGTAATTACCTTTCTAAAGTATATTCCAGCATTTATTCCATTTGTTTCCCAAACTCCTTGAAGTAGACAGGGCAGGCATATATTATTTCCATTTGATCAAGAATAATAAAACTAAAGCACAGAGAGAGAAAAATAATTTGTTCAAGATCATGTACTGAATAAGTAGCAGGCAGAGCTGAGTCTAGAGCCATGGTCTTGTGACTTCTACCCCAGCATCAGTGTCCCGTTTTGATGGCATCTCAGGGTAAAGGTGCCAGGTGTAGTTTATAAGTGTCTAGCCACAGGTCACTAGACATCTGGACTTAGGAACCTCCAGTCAGACACCTGTGCAGGATGGAGTAGATGTGGACAGCTGTGGATGTCAACCTTATCCCTGTATTTAGGGGAGGGCCCCCTGTAGGAGATGTTTGCTTCACAACATGTGCACACGGGCATTTTGTTATCCTTCAGCCTCCTGGCTTCTCCCACTCACGCTGTCGGCTCTGTCCTCTTCACTGCCCCTCTTTGGGTACATTTCACATGTGAGGCTGCAGAGTTACATCCCACTTCAGAAGCTCAGTTTATTCTGCTCTTCTGTTTTGTGGGGTGGCCAGATGGGCCAGGGCAGACTAGTGGATGGGGTTTACCCCATGGAGGGGAGGTTTCAGGCTTCTGCAGTAAAACCAAATGGGACCTGGGAATAGTGGGCTGGAGTAGATTCAGACTCAAACTGTGCTGGCAAACTGGGTGACTTGGTTGAGAGTTTTGTGGTTCCTTCTAGGCTTGGTGTTTTAGGCCTGTGGTTCCATCTGTGGGAGCATTTCAGGACCACCTGCAGAATTTTTTTCAAATAAGGATGCTTGTTTTGGGGCGATGAAAAATTTTGGAAATAGTGGTGATGGTTGCACAACATTGTCAATTAATGCCACTGAATTATAGACTTAAAAATGGTTGAAATGGCCAATTTATATGATATATATTTTACCTCACACACACAAGAGATGCTATCTGTTGAGAATTCTGTCTACCCTTGGGTGGATAGGGGCAGGGAAGGAGTCTTTTGAAGAAAGACTTTTTAGTCTTTTGAAAAAGCTTCTCTGGTAACTCTAGTGTAGCCTCCCTGGATTAAGAATCTCAGTTTTAAACTCCTAACTCAGTGATTTTCTTTCTTTCAACCCTGCCCAGGATTCCTTGGGCCCCCTGGCTGCCTGGGGTGTCCCACTTGTACACACAGCACTTGGGCCATGGCTAACAACTGGCAGGGCCAGGACTTGCACTCAGTTGTCACTGATTCCCAATTTTATGCTTTTCCACCTTCTACCCAGCTCCCTCCAAAACCAGGGAAGCTAACCAGGTTCTGTTTTTCCTGAGTCAGCCAGTGGACCTGGTGAGATGAGCCTGCCTGTAGGTAGTGTGCTATTAGCTGCTCAGATACGGGCCTGTCTCAACTCCTTTTTCTCACAGATGTTCACACCACAGAGTCATGTGGTATGACTTGCATCTGGGAGAGTTGAGTCTGGGAGAGCTGGGCCCAGGAGAGTTTTATGCTAGAGCCTGGCCAGAAAGCAGACTCTAGTTAACCCCTTCTCCTCAGTGTGACCCTTGCAAGTAGCTAGGACTTTTAGTTACTAATTTCCTTCCTGGTCCTGAACACACACATGAAATAGATACTGAAGAAAGTGCTTAGAGCTACTTGGATAAAATATATCAAAAGGAAGTTCTGCAAAACAGAGAATTGGATCAAACTAGCTGATGTTGCTTAGATCACCAAATATCAGAGGATTCTAAGTCAACACTTGCAAAAGAACTTTCCAGAGACCATGCTGTCAGACTGAGAGAAAGGACTAGAGTGAGAATTTTTGTTAGGTATCTCAATGGGTCTGGCAGTCCCCCCTTAAAACATAGGTGTTCCTTTAAGGCCTGCCAGAGCAACCCTAGGACCTCAGGCCCAGTCTGCCTCCTGGAGCAGCACATGGGGCCTGTTCCTTCCTGCCAGTCACTGGCAGCTGCGCTGGGGCCAGCAGGCCTTGTCTCACCCATTATCTTTCCACGTGTCTGTCAGCCCAGGCTCTTGGCCTGATGTCTTCTGAGGGGCCTGCCTCAGCCTGTCCCTGAGAGAAAGGCCTCCTCCGCTGGTTCTTGCAGCCTGGCTCTCTGCTGCCCCTGCCTGTCTAGAACCAAGACTGGCAGCAGCTGCCTGCATGTCCTCTCTGCTCTGCTTGACAGCAACCCAGTTCTTGGAAGAGGGACCTTAGGATCACCTTCCCTCCAACTTGCCTGGCCCGATATTTTTGATGAGGGAAGAAGATAGCAATACCACAGACATGCAGTGTCATCTATACCTCTCTTGATCTCTGACCCTTAGGGGGTCTTGGTAAATGAATGAATGAGTGAATGGATCTGTATGCATGCCTGGGTAGAACCCAGTGATCCTTTGCCACGGCAAACATCAGAATCACCTGGAGAGCTTAAGAAATACAGAATCTTAGATCCCTGACACTTTCCTTCTTGATCTTTCTTTGAAGCCCTTTACAATTACTATGCAAAATAAACACTTTATAATATGTTGACTATGTTGTCTTTTCCTTTCCCAGTTTGATTCCTGTATATCTGACTCCCCTAAAGAGAGGGCTTTGTGAGGATAGGGCCTAGGACATGTAAAGCCTTCCTGTTCCTTAGTTCTGCAAGATTCTGGAACAGCACTCAGGGAACATTGCCTTTAAGCAGGAAAGAAGCTGTGAGCTGTGTATTCTCAACCAGGGCTAGGTCTCAGAATCATATTGAGTGTGTGTGGGGAGCGGGTGTTGGGCAGATTCTTTTGAAAACACATATTCCTGAGCTCTGCCCCTAGAGACTCATTCAGGAAATATGAGGCGGGATCTAAGATTCTGTATTTCTTAAGCTCTCCAGGTGATTCTGATGTTTGCCGTGGCAAAGGACCATTGTATTCTACCCAGGCATGCATGCAGAGCCATTCACTCATTCATTCATTTATCAAATATATGTATACCACTATGTGCCAGGCAAAGGGGCTGCTGGCGCTGGGGCTCTAGCATAGAAAAAAAGATAGACTCCTTCCCTCATGGAGCTTACATGTATATGTGTGCAACGGACACATTCATGTGGACACATACATGGATACAGACGTGTTCATGCCACTGGGACACACAGGTCTGTAGCAGAAGTAATTAGTATAAGCCATTGTGGTTGTTTGTTCCAGAAGAGGCAGGTGCTCTTGTGTTCTCTCTGCAGATCCTCAGCACTCTTGTTAAAGGGACACACAGACCTGTGACCTGCAAGATTCGCATCCTGTCATCGGTAAGGATGGTGAATTACTATTGAAGGTCCATTCTCTCTGGGGATGTTTATTTGAGGTGTCAATGATTTTTGAGGAACCGAATTAGGTTTGGAGGAGGGGTAGAGCTGAGCCCACTTTAGGAGCTGGCAGCTGCTCCCTCTGTGGCTTCAGTAACCACCCTATGTGGTCCTCTTCCTCAGCTGGAAGATACCCTGAGCCTTGTGAAGCGGATAGAAAGGACTGGCATTGCTGCCATCGCAGTTCATGGGAGGTGAGTGGTCACCTTTCTAGTGACTGACTTGCAGAGAGGTCTTCGGCCATCTTAATGATCCTTCACCAGGCCCTAGGTGACAATCAATTTCTCTCGTACATATACAGCCTATTGCTGCCTAGATCTTTGACACCCTGAGGGCTGTTTCTTTATGGGATTGCCTTTTTCTTTGTTTCATTCATTGAGCATCTACTGGTGGTAGGCTTTAGAGACAGAGAGACTGAGAGGAAGGAAAACTGCCCCTACCCTCAGGATGTGTAAATGGTAGAGTGAATGATTTGCTCAAAATTGCATCATGCAGCCAGGAAGTAGTGGAATTAGAACTCTGATTCTGAATCTCGTTTTATTACCACTACATTGAGCAATAGCTTCTCCCTCAAATGACCCCAGGCAATCTGCTATTCTTTTAAAGGCACTGCCTCTTTTGTCTGCCCCTATTATTCTTCCAGCTGTCACAATGGCTGCTTTAAACAGTCCTTGTATCTGTAGCTGTTGTGTTCTCTACTGAGACCTGAGAGGTTGCTGAAGGCTACTCTGGGTTTCCCAGTCAAATTTGCTTCCTGTGTCCAGGATATGCTTTCGTACAGAACCCCAGGCCAGTAGACTTTGGCAAGAGTGACCTCTCTTCTCTATGTGATGTCCTTTTTGGGTTCAACGGTCTTGTAAGAACAGCCCATTTTTTGCTAGTTGTAGCATTTTCTTATAGCATTTTCAGAGAAAGGAACCCAGAACTTTAATATATAAAACAGAAAAGCAGAGCTATACGGGTGGAAACCAGTGCTGGTAGAGGAGGGGTGAAAGGCTGTATACATCACACACCTTGAGGTAGCAGGCTCTGGGCTCAGACTGCGTGGTTTCAAATCCCATCTCTGATGCCTGTTGGCTGTGTATCCTTGGACAAATCTTTTTTTTTTTTTTTTTAATTTTTATGAGTTTATTTGAGCCAAACTGACAACATATGCCAGGAGCAAGATTTCAAACGCTCCCTTCTTAGACAAATCATTTAACCTCTCTGAGCACCACATTCCTCACATGGAAGTTAAGATAATTTCTGCTTTATAAGGTTGTTGTGGGGCTTTTATGAGATTGCGAATTTATAGCCTTGGCATAGCACCTGGCATATCGTATTCTCTGAATAAATACAGCTATTCATTTTCACCAGTAGTTGGAAACACTAGGAAGACAGAATTCAGTAAGTTTAAAGAGGGACTGTCCCGCCATCAAAACTGTTGAGGATGGGGTAGAACTGGCTGCTGGGGATCTAGGGAAGTAGAGGTGGAGGCTGAGTTGACAGAGTCTTCTGAGGCCCTGTGGCTCCTGACCCTTCTTGTTGAGGGATATAGCAGAGAGGACATACCCAGACAAGACCTGGGCAAGGGCTATCTGGTCAACCACCTCTCTTGCTTGTTCCTGAAAACAGCACAGGTCAAGGCTCACCTCAGCATCCCTAAGACTCACTGTCATTCACAAGAACTTCTTTCAGTTGACCCAGGGTATGGTCCTGCCTCCTCTGTGGCTCATTGTGACAGCCATGGTCTGTGGCCTGCCCTGACTACTGCGTCTACCTTGTGCCAGGTGCCTCTCCCTAGGATCAGCTGCTCAACCTCGCCTCAGCATAGGCAGCTGTATGGGAGTGGCCAGTCTGAGCAGTGGCAGCTGTTCCCAGTCCCTTGGGGAGGGCAGGACCGGGACAGTAGGGGCAGCATTCTTATGGCACTATCCCTCATCTCTAGCAGAGGTGAGGGGAAGCCAGGGAAAGGCAGCGTGACCTTGGGAGTCAGGCTACCCACATCAGCCCCGTGAAGCCATACCTCACCTGCAGGCCTCCAAGAGCTGGACTTGCCATACTCCTGTCCTTGATGGCCACATGACCTTCCTGAGGTTCACTAGGGAGGACAGTAAGGTTAAGTTGCCTAAGGTAACTGTGTAACTGCGACACGGCCTTTGGCACTCAGCCCTCAGCCTCATCTTTTTTGTTTATCTCCAAGGAAGCGGGAGGAGCGACCTCAACACCCTGTCAGCTGTGAAGCCATCAAAGCTATTGCTGAAACCCTCTCCATTCCTGTCATAGCCAAGTAAGCCTCCCTTCCTCATCATTTACTTTTTATGCCCCACCTTACTCAGAAGGGATTTGAGCTGGCATACAAAAATGGAAGGATATAGCATTAAAAAAATGACCTTAAGGGAAAAGAGAATAAAGGGTAGGATGAAAAAACGAAGTTGGGAATAAGGCTGACAAGTGCCTATCATGTCTGTCGGCCTCTGGTGAGTAGCTGATAAAGGTGTGCAGTAGCTAGGGGCCCAGGTTGGGTTGAGGGTAGGAGTGTTCAAGGGACAGGGAGAGCAAGAAGGTGGCTGCTGAAGCAGGCCTAGGAGAAGGTGATATTACACCAGAGTTAGATGTGCAGGGTGTAGGGTGAGAGGCCCAAACCAGAGCACACAGAGCTATGGCTCAGGAGTCATGAGGCTGGTCATAGTCTAGAGCCCAGACAAGCATTCTGGGCAGCTGTGGAACCAGGAATCTAGACTGGCAGGTGTGAGGTTCCCAGCCCAGAGGCTTGGTGTCCACTTGCCCCCAGGGAGCTGGCCTATGTGGGCCAGTGGGGAGTCCCGCTGATCCTTGCACCTTAGGATGGCACAGAACCTGATGGCAGGATAGGAGTAGGGAGGTTCCAAACCCCTGAAGCCCTGATAGCAGATTCGCCTGACTGGTGGGAGGGAGGGAGGGAGGAACAGGCTAAGGATGGGAATGGAGGCCAGGCCCTACCTTCCCCGGGCCAAGGAATTTTAGAGGTTTGGAGAGAGGAGGGCCACTCAAGACCCTGGACCCTTTTGCTGCTGCTGCCACCTGAGGGTTCCTCCATCCCTGACACTCTCCCAATTCTGTCTCTGTAAACAGCAGTTTACAAGGGGGCCCTTGGGGCTGCAGGGTGGCAGGATGGGAAATTACAACCAAAATGGGTCTCCTTCTTTCCTCTCATGGTCACCACTGCTCCTGTTCCCTCTCTAGGGTTTTGACCCAGCCTTTAGTGGGCATATAGGTGTTCCAGCCTGGGGGTTTCCTGTAACCCCAGTATCTACTTACAGGCCCATGTCTTCAGATGTAGGCTGGCTTTCCCCACAGTTTAGGATGAAGTAGAAGGAAGGTAAAATCTTGAGGATATCTATTAAGTGCCCGGCATGGTTTGGGCTACTTTCCTATATTATCTCACTTGGTGCTCCTGACCCCATAGTGGGGTGTGTGTGAGAATCTTCAGTCTCCCAAAGTGTGCACAGCTGAAGCACTTGGCCAAAGCCACACGGTTAATGTGAGGCAGACCTGGGAGTTGCCTTTTTTTTGAAAATGCTGGGACAAGAATGGGAATACCTCTCAACCCCCTGTTGCCTTTCAGTGGAGGATCTCATGACCACATCCAAGAGTATTTGGACATCGAGGACTTTCGACAAGCCACAGCAGCCTCTTCAGTGATGGTGGCCCGAGCAGCAATGTGGAACCCATCCATCTTCCTCAAGGAGGGTTTGCGGCCCCTGGAGGAGGTCATGCAGAAGTACATCCGATACGTACGTCTCTGCACTTTTTTGAAACAAACATTTCTCCCTGTCTGCCACATTCCTGCAGAAAGCTTTGGGTGAGGCCCCAGCTACCAGCTGTCAGCAGGCAGCCCTTGTCATTCTTCTCCTTTTCTTTTCAGTTCTGGTCATGTAGCATTGAACCTCCCTGGCTGTGATGTGAAGAGAGGGTGCTCCTTCTAAAGCTTCCAAGGTGTGGGGTCATAGCAAGGACCTCTGGATCCAGGACACTGTTGTGGCCCCAAACACATGATCTCTTCCTCACCCCCCACGCATACATGTACATGCACAATGACAATGGGGTCTGTGTCACTGAAGACACCCATGCAATGGGTTGGTGCCAGAGCAGCCAGAGCCAGGAGGAGCCATTGTAGCTGCTGTTGTTGACAGACTATCTCCATAGAGACTTCTTACCTGGTCATCAGTCCAAATCATATCTTGCTAATTCCCAGCATGCTTTAACCCCTGACTTAAGGTATAGCTAAACTTTAACCCTCTCCTTAGGGAAAGCTTTTTCTTCTTACTGGGAGCTTGATGGTAGTGCCATGGGCATTTCCCTGTAAAGGAATTTTTTTTGACAAGTTCACTTGCCCTGGCCCTTCAGCACAACCCTGGAACTTGGCGGGACTCTGATCAGCTGTGCATGTCTGTAGGCAGAGACAGCGAGTGGTCCTCGGATTCTTCAGTGAGTTGGGCTTGGGCCCTCACCCAGAGCAGACTTCCACCTTCCTCTTCAGTTTTGGGGCTCACACTCTCCTGGGAGGGTTGAGAGAGTCCAGATGGCTCTTCAAACCATGGCCATGCCTGGGCAGTTATGACTGCTGTGGCACGTGTGTGTCCCCAGGGCTGTGCAGGCTGGGGACAGTAGGAGGCCCTGAGGCCTGTGTCCAGAGTGGGGCGGCCTCTGTCCTAGAGTATCCCTTGTTTGATGCTACAGCCCTAATCCCTTGGTTTTGGGTGTCCTGTTGGGCAGGTTGGTGACCACTAGGTTCTCCAGTGGCCGGAGTTAGCCAAGGGCAAGGGGGCTTGCTTCAGCCCAGGTCAGCTGTCTAGCTCTTCTGGCTGGCTGGCAAGTCTGTGGCAGAGAGGACACGTTCAATTGTGCTGAGCTTGCTCACTGGGTGAAAGGTGATGCTATCATTCTTGCTCAGCCTGACCTTTGGCAGCTTCTCAAGAGTGTGTGTCGTCCTGGAGAAAGGGAGTAGCTTTCGAGCATAGGTGGGGCTGTTTCTGGTCCAGCCAAGTGCTGTCTGTTCCAAATAAACTGAATCAAAGCTTTGCTGTCAGCCGGGGCTTACCCACATATCCCTGCTTTGTCCTGAGTGTGCCATGGCACATTCCCAATCACTGAAAACATAGGCCTAGTGGTGATATTAGAAGAGTGTAGGGGCCAAGGGGTTAGAGGGAGTTCTGGAGGGCTGGGGCACCCTTCGCCAACACTCTCCTGCCCACCCCACGCCAGGCAGGCTCTTACTGGTACCCCGGGCAGTCAGTTGTCTTATCTCCCTGAGCCTGCACTTCTCAGTCTGTGAAGTAGTGGTGACAGTTGAACCTCATGCTTGTATAGCTCAGTGAAGTGACAACACGTGTGAACATAGTCGGTAGATGGGGCTGTAGGGGAATTTGGAGACAGGCCATTTAAGATGTGGCAAGGGAAGGTACCCACCGTGGTTGTAAGGAATAGAAGAATTTCACCCCTGTCCTGGGGCTGGTTCTGCCACAACAGAATTTGGCTTCTTCCCGCTCCCTGCCTTGGAGGATGCTTTCTGGCAGGTCCTCCGTGGTTGCCTATGGTGGTTGAAGCAGGAGGGGCTCCCAGGTGGGCAGCAGGTGGGCTCATGTCAGTTATTCTCTCAGGCCGTGCAGTATGACAACCACTACACCAACACCAAGTACTGCTTGTGCCAGATGCTACGAGAACAGCTGGAGTCACCCCAAGGAAAGTTGCTTCATGCTGCCCAGTCTTCCCAGGAAATTTGGTGAGAGGGACAATGGGCTCTCCTTGCAGACACGTTGCCCAGGCTTAACCCTGAGCCCTAGGCTGACTCTACCAGGGGACAAGTGACACAGCTTCTGGAGATTGATGTGCAGGAGTGGGGTGGTGCTACAGTACTACAGCTTTACCTCGCAGAATAGCTTTCAAAGCTTTGGAACTTTCCATCCCTGAAGTGATCCTCAGCAGCAAGCATTTTGGGAACTAGGGCACTAGTTGGACGGAGGAATGTGAGGGCTGGGCTTGGGAATTCCTGTGGAGGAATGGGCTTTTCCAGTAACAGATCTATCACATGCCATGCCACCAAGACTCAATTGTCAAGAGATTTGGGGTTACAGAATGGAGCCCTTGGCCTGAGCCTGCACTCACAGCCCATCACTCTGCAGTCTGACAGGCCACCCCTTGCTCCTCTAGACCTAGTATAGCTCCAACTCAGGTGGTTGACATTGGGAGCCCCTCACAACCTGACCTCCTGCTTGCTCCCACAGCTCTTTATTTACGCTTTTCCCCACCTCCATGGATCTGTGCTTGTACTGGGTCTTCTGCCTGAATGCTCTCTCCCCCACATGTTGGTTGTCTATATCCTCCCTCCTCTGAAGAAACCTTAATGAACCACTCTCACCTCCAGATATTCATCTTCGCCAATGTCTTCCAGCCCTCAAGATGCTTCCTAGAAAAGCCTTGCCAGAACCCTCCTTGTGAGCTCAGGAGTATAATTTTCAAGATTATAACTGTAGCTCTGGGTGGTACCTCAATTTAGGTGAGGCCTAACTGCTTGTGGCCGGGGCAGGAAGTGGAGAACCACTCAGTGGTCAGGCCTCTGTCTCTTCCGCCCGTGGGCCCACATGAGGACGCGGCTATGCATACCTCCGGTGCTTGATCAGTGTAGGTTAGCTCACTCACTGCTGGCTGGGGACACCTGCCTGTGTGCTCTTCCTTGAAAGAGAAGCTGGGCTTGGGTGGTAGAGGTGACCTTTAGAATGTTTTCCACCCAGCCCTGCCTGCCCTCCAGTGTCCACCCTCAGGGGCCCACATTCACTGTCCACCTGCCACTCCAGGCCGATCCTAGGGGTGGGTAGAAGGTACCTTCTGATGGCCAGGTCCTAGTGGTGGTTTGGTGTGTGCTGGGGGGCATTCCTCAGGGGTGGGGCCCTGGGCTCCCGCAGTAGTTCCCTAGATGCTGGCTCCCCTTAAAGGGCTTGCACTGTTCTACTTGTCTCTCTGTAGTGAGGCCTTTGGCCTTGGTGCCTTCTATGAGGAGACCACACGAGAACTGGACGCTCGGCGGGCTGAGCTCTTGGCCAGGACCCCAGAAGAGGCAGGGGATCCGGCTCAAGACACCTCTGATGTCATTAAGATGGCTGTCAAATTTGACCGGTAGGTCTCCAGCGTGGCTTCAGTTTGGGCTAGGGCCAGTGCCTTTGGGCTGCCTGGCCCAACAAGCTGGCTGTTGTACATGGTTAATGGCAAGCAGACCACAGGTCACTTTGGTTTGTACCCTTGTTCTCAGTTTTCAACAACTCAAAAAAAACACTTTGGAGAAGATAGTCCCTGAAAGCCTAGGCAGTGCTGTCAGGGTTGGACATGTTTTCCCCAGGGTGACTGAACTCTACCCTTGCCCTCACTCACTACCCGCTCCCACAGCTCGGGGTGGGAGGACTTGTCTCCTTCTGTCCCTGAAAGTCTATGCTTTTTCCCTGGCCCTGAAGAAGGAGCTGCCTACAAGAGACTCTCTAGCAGCAGTGAGACCCTAATCCTTATCTGGCTGTGTGACCCCTGCCCACACTGGCTGCTCCTCACCAGCCCTGTGGTATCTTCTCTAGGTAGAAGTAGCCTCAGGCCAATTACTACCTCAGACTGTGACTCAGCTTTAATTGGGGCCCTCATCCTTGTCCTCTGTAATCTGGGATCTGAGCCTTTCTCAGGTCCACAGGCCCAGCCCAGAAGCCAGTCTTGTCTGGCAAGGGCTGGGGAGGAAGGGTGTGGGAACAGCTGTTGGGCAGTCATATTCAGGGGGAGCTCCTGGTGGGAAGTTGCAACATGATGCAGACTGACTCTGAAACCAGATTCCACTGTGTCTAAAGCAGCAGTGGATCATTCTGACACTCGGCAGACATAGTTAGGTGGGTGCTAAGCTAGATCCCTGAGACAATGGTATGGCTACCTGTGTTTCTCAACCCCGTCCACTTCCTCCTGATCTTGTCTTGAGAGTCAAACTGGACTTACCTTCTTGGCTGTCAAAGACTGTTTTCTAGGCTGGAGCTCATACTGCTAGAGTTAACTTCCCACCCCAGTTCCCTAAGCATGGTGAAGCCCATCTTCCCTTTAGGTAGAACGCAGGCCCCAAGTTGCCGGTAGGACAGAAATGGGAGGTCAGGAGAATAGTACATGAACTTAGGGCAGCAGCGTGATGTCTCAGTTCCTGCAGCTCCTATCAGGAACTGAGTGGGGCCCCTGCTGAGTAACGGAGCGGTGATGGCCGTTGGGCCTGACTCCTTCTCCTTTTTCCAGGAGAGCATACTCACCCCAGATCACCCCCAAGATGTGCCTGCTGGAATGGTGCCGGAGGGAGAAGTTGGCACAACCTGTATATGAAACCGTGAGTTCCTGGCTGTGTGGCTTGCCCTGCATCCAGCCCCACAGACTTCCCACAGCTGGTGCCATCACCCCTAGCACACCCACAGCTCATACCCTGGACTCCAGACCTCTTGGCTGGAGCCGGGCTTTGCCCTCTTTGGGCATGCATGAGTTACTGGTGGCTGGGCTAGTTGCTGATAATGCCTTTCCTTTGACAGTGGGCCTGTTGTCTAATTGTGGCTACTTTCATAAAACGGAACTAGTGACTTAAGTAAAGGGCTGCCAGTGGTGTTACTTAGGCAGGGGAGATGTCTCTGGGAAGAGCCAACTGGCTTGGGAAAGGGTGCTCAAACCTAAAAGTTAGACATGTTTTTGGACCAGGCCTCAGCCAATGGGGCACAGAATTGGGCTCCAGACACAGGGTCCCTCAGTGAACTTTGAGATAGGATTGCTCAACTTCCTTTGGTCCCCATGGCCATGCCTTGTTTAAGTTGCTCTGTCTCTTTTGAACTGGACTTCTGACCTCCAAGCTTGTACCTTTTGGGCCTTGTGTCCTCCTCTGCCAGAGTGACATTTCCAAAGCGAATCTGACCTCTACCTCCCTTGCTCAGGTCCTCATCAGCTCCTCAGTGCCTTTGGGACCAAGCCCTAGTACCTTAGCACAGAGCATGAGACTGCTCCCCCAACCCCGCCTGCTCTTCTGCTTCAAGTGTCATGCACTCAGCTCTCTGCTCTGCCTTATCACCTGGTCTCTCTGCCAGATGCTGTCTTCTTTGCCCCAATCCTTGTCCCCTCTTACCCCTTTGCCATCTGGTGGACTCCTCATTTGGAGGACACTCCATAGTCACACACAGCTAAGGGCTCTGATGGTCCTTTGTGTAGGTGCATGGCAGAATTCCTCTGATATGCTGCAGTGTCATTGTCTGTTTGTGTATCCACCTTTCTTCCCTGGAAAACGTACTAGACATTTCTGCTGGGGAGGAGCATGTGGTATAGGTAGCTTTCATTTGACTTAGGTGGAAGGACTTCCTTTTCTTTGCCTTCAGTGTGACCCTGGCAGGTGGGCTTCCGGGGCTCATTCTTCTTCCCCTCATGTTGCCATCCCTGTTTCCTTTGCTCTCTCTGTACCAGGTTCAACGCCCCCTGGATCGCCTCTTCTGTTCTGTTGTCACTGTTGCTGAGCAAAAGTACCAGTCTACCTTGTGGTGAGTTTCCTCATCAGTGGGCTAGCATTGGCTTAGGAAGGTTGGGTGGATGGTGTACCTTGCCAGTAGCATCCCTGGGTGATGACCCCTTCCTCAGTTTTGGCAGAATCTGTGCCAAGGGTATTGTAAAGTCAGACCTCACAGCCTCTAGTCCTGCAATCTGTCTGCCCATCTGCCTCAATCCCCTATCCCTCATCTTCCCAGGGACAAGTCCAAGAAACTGGCGGAACAGGCTGCAGCCATCGTCTGTCTGAGGAGCCAGGGCCTCCCTGAGGGTCGGCTGGGTGAGGTGAGCACCTCCTTGCACAAACGCAAGTGGGAGGCCCCTGACCAAGACCCTGGGGGGCCCAGAGCTCAGGAGCCAGCAATGCCTGGGGAACTGTGCAAGAAGCTCTTTGTAGCCTTGGGAAGTGGTAAAGAGAGCTCTCTGGAAGGCTGGTGACCACTGTCCCTACCTCGGTGATCCTTTCCATGAGCCTGGCCCTAAGATGACTTAGGTACAGAGCATGAACCAGAGAGCTATTGGAGAATTTGCTGCCTCTGCCTGACAGGAGTTAAGAGGTTCTGGCTGGGCCATCGGCCTGGAACATGGGACAAGGGGTGCCCAGAGCGCCCATCTCCTTTGGTAGGTCTGATTGCAGGGCCAGGTTCCCAGTGATCTCAGTATTTTCTTTGAAAACGGGCTTTTCAGGTGGAACCTCCCCAACCTGATATTGGTACAGTGCAATAAAGACACCCTCCATCCTCACCCATGGCTGGCTGCTTTAGCCTTGATCATCTTCACACATGGACTGATGGCCTGGCATAATTATTCTACTCCCACCCACAGTGCAGAGCTGGAGCTTCCTAAGGCTTACCTTTTATCCATCCTTATGGGTCTGGATGGAAGTAAGAGACAGGGCATCTCACCTTTAATGTTCATTGGACTTGGCTGAGTCAGGAAGGCCCAAGAAGCCCATTTTACTGATGGTAAACCTGAGGCAATGGCCATCAGTTAGTTGGCTTTCCTGATGAGAAGTGATATGGGATCTGGGGCGATGATTAGGATATCTGGTACCCCAGCAAGGGACCAGCTCAGGCGAATGTGGGTACTGGGTCTGACCCTCAACAACTGTCTGGAGCTCAGACCTGAGGTGCTTGCTCTGGTTAGAAGATACTGGAGACTGCTGATTACAACAATTTGGGGCCCTTGAGATTGCCCGCCCACGCCACTGCCCCCCTTTCACCTCCACCATCCCGTTTGGGCCGGAAGGAAGTGGCAGATTCTCTTTAATTTCCTTCTGGCAGTAAGAAGCAAACAAACGGCTACCACAACTCAACTTGTGGGGCCACCCCCGCTTACTGGGAGGGGCGTTCTGACCAAAGGTCTCTGCCCAGTGCCGCCCCTGCTTCCTCAGCTGTAAACATGTTGCTTCTCCTCCCCTTTTTCAAGCTCCGTGGGGAGGGGGGATTCCTCTCTGGTCCAAGGCCATGTTCCTCCCATCTCCCCCAGGGTAAGGCCCCTGTGCCAGCCACCAGCGCCTGGCTCTGTGGCCTGAGTCAAGGGTTGGGCAGAGGTCTCTGTCTCAGTCCTGGAGGTGCCCCTCCTGGCACCCACATTGCTCTTCTGTATGCAGATAAGGATACCACACTACCAGTGGCCTCCTAGAGCCCATTGCTATCTGACCTTGGGCAAGTCACTTCTTGTCCTCTCTGGGCCCAAGGGCCCTCCTCTGAGAATGGGATCAACTGTTCTCTGCCTGCTTGAAACTGGCTGGAGGATAAATAGGCTAGCCCTGTGATAGTTCACTGTGTGGCTAATGGGGTCAACTCCATGCTGAGGCTGCCCTAACTGCCCAGCCCAGTGGTCCCAGAGAAAGGGCCCCACCCAGGAGAGTGACAGGCTTAGTCCAGCCTCAGCCATCAAGCTTTAGGCATAATTTATTTCTGATTTTTTCTTATAAAAAACTCTCAGTGAAAATACCTTTGCCTTTCCTCATACCCCGACTGGAACAGGGCAGACAGAGAGGCCCCAGTAGACCCCCAGGCATCCTGAGACAGTCAGAGCTTGTGGGAGGACTCTGTGTTGGCCAGGCACTAAGTGAATTAAGATCCACTTCTTCCCTGATGGGGCTGGGCTTTGTCCTTAGCCCTCTTTGCCCACCATTGTGATTTTCTGGGGAAACCCCTGCTCTGGCAGGGTCAGGTTCATTTCCGGGCTACGGAGAAGAGGCAGGGTAGAGGTCAGCTGCTAAGATAGAGTCTGGAGTGTGGGGACTTTGAGGGCCCAGGAAAAGCATTGTGGAGAGGGTCATTCACAGGGGAGCAGGTGGGGAGTGGCTAGTGCGTGTTCCATGACTAAGGATGTCTGATAAAGATCCTGGTTAAATATGGTCTCAGTTTAACACACCTCAGTGATACATTCCCTGGTCTCAGAGTGACCTGCCTAAGTCCAGGTACTGACTGGGAGGACCCAGTCAGTTCTGAAAGCTCCACCCACTGTTCTTATCATGCCCACCTTAAACTAAGGCCACTTAGACACCCAAACCCCTCTCTGGACTAGTGGCCACAACACTTATCCATCTATTCCAGCCACCTGGATTAAGGACTTACTCTTAGCTCATCACATTTTGGGGATAAATGATTTTGACATGAACATGAGAGGGAGGAATGAGTAAGGCTAGAGAATGTGACAGGTCTTCCGAAGACCACAGCAAGAAGACTGGACTTGTGCAGATGAGTGGGGAACCTCTTACCCCTGCAGTCCTGCACTTAGTTCCTTCCAGGTGTCACTCTTGTTCACAACTGTACCACAGCTCTCCACTGTCCTCTGGATCGAGTCCAAACTCCTCAGCTTAGCATTCGAGGACAAAATGCTAACCCTGCCTTCTGGATCCTGTGCTGACTTTTTTTGATTGTAGTCTGCCAAGATTGGGAGCTGCTCAAGGGCAGTCCTTGTGTCCCCTATGGCCAGCCTTGGTATGGGGATGGGGAGCAGGCACTGAAGAAGAACCAAAATCAAGACATTGGGCAGGAGAGGTGGGTGGCATGGAGAAGAACTACTTTGTAAACTCTGACTTTCCTCCAAGGGTCCTGTTTCCTCTAATGTGGAACAAGAAGAGCTGGACTCAGCTAAGCTGTACCATCTCATGGCTCAGAGGCCGCAGGAGAGCCTTCAACAATGGGAGCTCAGAGTCAGGCCTATGGCAGCTGATGAAATAGATGGCTTTCCCTAAATCTCAGGCCTGGCTGGCATTCACACAGGAGGGAGGTTGTACAGAGACCCACACAGTTTTTTTCTACTAGCCAGCCCAGTCAGGTTCTGTATACAGCACTAGTCCCCTGGTTTTCCTGGTTTCATAGGGCTCTCAGAAGGCTGGAGGCGAGTCAGATGGCCTTCTGCCATCTAAGAGAGCTTTGGAGCTGGCCTGAGGAAGAGCTCATGGGGGAGATCCTAGTCTTAGCTGAGGAAAAGGGGTGGAGAGAGTTCATATATTGGTGTGTGTGGGAGCATCACAGCCTGTAGAGCTCCCAGCCATTGCTGCCTTTCTTAGAAAGGTGGTAACACTCTTCCTGAAGTTGGTGTCCACCCCTGCCCCAGCCCTTATCACTCTACATTGGGTTCTCAGTTTCCTCCAGACCAGAAATCTTCCCCCAGACCTGACCTCCTCTCAGTTTTCTCCACTTGCACATTGGCTGGGAACACAGCTGCGTCACGGAGCAGTTGATGAGCGAGTGAATTTTTAAAGCCATCTACAGCTTCTGTGGTTCCTTCCTAGCAGTGGGGCTGACAGGCCCAGGGTCTCCCTCTTACCTTCCCCCTGGCCTGGCTGGCTGAGTCCCTGGTTCAGGTAAAGTCATGTCTAGAGGGCAGAGAGGCTAGATAAAGGTCCATTTTCTCGATCCAGATGATAACCTGGGAGGTATGTATGTGTGGGGGCAGGGAGAAACAACCTGAAACTGCATTGTTTTATGGGGAGGGGGAGGTGAGCTGGCCAACCTTCTGGGGCCTTTTACTATACCAGGGTCATGTTACATGTGCTACTAATTGGCAGGCCAGCCATCTGCCTGGGGCAGAAGCCTGCTAAATTAGTTGCTTTTGGCCTCTAAGTTCCATACTCAGCCATTCAAAGTCGGAGATCCTTTGAAGGCAGGACAGTTTATTTGGAAGATGTTACACCTACATAATGCCATTTGCTCCCTCTCCTCCATCACTGTTATCCTCTCCTGCCTCTAACCTTCTCCCAATCCAATACAGTGATTCACCTAGAATTCTGAACATGGATGTCCCCTGTTCTAAACCCTTCTGTAGCTTCCACTGCCCTCAGGATAAAGTCCAGATATCTTGCAGTGCCCTGTAGTACTCTGTCCATTCATCCACCTTTACCTTTGCCTTCTGCTCACTGCATGTATTTTCTGGTCCCCAAGTCTTCGGAAATCTGTTCTCTGGAACCATCTTCTTCATCTCTTGCCCATCTCTCCAATTCATACTTAGCCCTGTGGAGGACCTGTAGCCAGGGTGATTATGAACCTTCTCTGAGCTGGCACAGCCCTAATCTCTTTACACAGTGATTATAGATTTGCTAGTTCCCTCTCTCCCACCTCTAAAGGGAGACTAATTTACCTCTGTATCCCCAGGTCCAGGACAGGTATGTGTACAGAGCCCTGGGCAGGAAAAATTTTCTGACCTCGGGGTTGAACCAATCCAAGATAAAAGTTTCATTTGCTCTGGACATTCCCTGTCCTGACCTAAGACCTAGTTAGGCTATCCCTACCGCTCCCTGGTAGTTCAAGTATCACATATTGAGACATCTCTGCAAGGTGCTCCACCTTGCTCTCTTCTCCCAAGGGCTTTTTGTGGGCAGTGTAGGATGTGCCTGAACTCAAGCCTTTGAGAGGGACATAGCATCCTGGGTTTCTCAGCAACTCGCCTGTAGGGATGATACGCCCTGCGGGGTCTGGAGCTAGGGGAGTTGGTCTCTCAGGCCTCTCCCAGCTCCCCGGTCAACCCTGCGCCTTGGAGCATCCCTAAGTAAACAAGTCAGGCTCAGCGTTCCCGGTTCCCGGGCACCAGCCCCATCTCAGGCCCCAGGAGGCCGCATCTTGGGTCCTCTTGGGGGAAGATAGGCCTGGGGAGGGGCCAAGAGTAAAAACCGTTCTTTAGACACAGTGTCACTTCCTCTCCACTAACAGCCGCTCGGTTTGGGTATCACAATCCCTCCTGCTTTCATGGATGTGCTCTGAGATGCAGAGGTCAGGGTCCTTGAGTGGCTCGAGTTCACGACGAACTTTCCGGTTCAGTATTCCCAACTTCTCGCAGGGGACAGATTATGCCTGTCGGGCTTTCCCGAGGCTTCGAATACACCGGCAGTGCTCGAGGTATCAGCTGCCAGGCCGGCTCGTCAGGGCGGACAAAGGCGCAGCCAGAGAAGCGCGGGAGCCGTCCCCGAGCTCAGATTCGGGACTTGTGCAGCCCACGTCTCTATGTGCCCCGTCCCACGCTAGTTGGAGGCTCGGTCGGTCCCCACCTTCTCGAGATCCCGCCATTAGAGTCGGGGTGGGATGAGGGCGTGAGTGGCGTTCACGTCAATCCTCCGGTACCCTGATATCCTCCCCAAACCAGCCAACCGAAGTGACCCTTCAGTACCGTGTCACCGAACTTATAACCCTAGTGCTCCGGCGCCCCTTCCTGGATGTGAGCTACACCCAGGAATAGTCTCAGATTGGCGGGCGGTGGGCTCCTTAACCCAATTAGGACTATCGGCATCACACTCGGGTGCGGGAGCCTGGTTTAGGAGTTGGGAAG